TGTGGGGCTGTGGTGCTGCGCTGCTTCCCAGGCTTCTCTCCGGGACTGTGCTGGGCCTGGCGGCGTGAAGGGCTCCGCGGCTTCCTTGAAGGTTTGCCTCCTCCCCCCCGCTCCAAGACCTGTGCGTGTTAGGCATGGGGCGGGACGTGCCGGCTTGATCTTGCTTGCTTCTGTAAAAGGGAGCCAAAAAAGTCCAGAAACGGGCTGCGTGGAGAGGCTTGGTGCGGCTTAGGCTGTAAGAAATTCCTGCTCCGCCTGGGTCTTGAGCCTCTGCAAACACACGTCTTGTTGTGGCATCAAAGTCAGGTGGCCATTAACCCGTGAAGGAAGGAGAAGGGAGAAGTGGTGAAGGTCACTGTCTGGGGTAACATAGCATGTCCTGGTGGAGAGCTTCTACTTGTATTTATTGTGCAGTTTGAGTTCTGGATGGTGATGAGTTGAATTTTCTTGCTAGTCCGTGTAAAGTGGCTTTTAATTTATATAAATCGTGGAGTCTTTTTTTCTTTGGTTGTTTTTCTTCCCTGAAGTTGTAGTTCATGCATTTCTAATGTCTAAATACTCTAAGACAAAGACTTGAACTTAGCCTTAATATATGGGGGGTGGGAGGAAAGTGTGCACTGAATTTTAAGTCTTATCATCAACCCTGACTTGGAAGAAAGACAACTTCTGTTTTTTTGTCGGGCTGCTTGGGTATGGCAGAACAGTGGTCTTTGTTCAGATAACTTAATTTGATTGCTTGAAAGCCTACAAGAATGGGAGTTACTTAGCAATGTTATCTATCTTTGATTTTAGCAAACTTGTGATTGGTTAAACTTCAGTTTGTAAACTTATAGTTCTTTGCTTCGGGAAGTCGCGTTTTACATGCTGTATAAAACTTTGATTTCTCTGAGTGTACCGAGTGTGGCTTTAGGGAACGGGACACCTGAAAACAGATTTTCCATTTTTTTTCTTTAAATGTTGAACAGATAATCTGCTCTTTAATATTTTGTTAAGAGGTCTCAAATCTGACTCGCATTTCTAGGTACCTTTTAATTATCAATTAAGATGGATATCAGAGGCGCTGTAGATGCTGCTGTCCCAACAAACATCATTGCTGCCAAAGCTGCTGAAGTTCGGGCAAACAAAGTAAACTGGCAGTCATATCTCCAGTAAGTAAAAGCTTCCCACATTTTTTTCCTTCTTCTCTCTCTCCTCCCCGAAACGTTAGGCTTTGGGGGATTTGGGGTTACGTTGGAACATTAGGTCACAGTGAGAAACATTCTACCTTGGTCCTGAGAAAACAGTTGGAAAAAGCCTACATTAAATGAAAATGGTTGGGGAAAATTTTCTTATGATTTATTACAAAAAAGGGAACTCTACTTCTGTGAACTGAATGTTGCAATAACAAACAATATAAGTTTGCATAGATGTGTGGTAAAGGTGTCTGTTTTTTTTTTTTCCCCTTACAATTCAAATGCCATTCTCAATTTTTTAGTTTTTGGCTGAGTACTGCTATTAAAACGTTTACAGTAAGAGTTGTTTTGTATGTAGGTGTGTTACCTTTGTTGCTGAGGTGCCTTATGTGTAAATACACATTGTGCTTCCAAAACTGGACTGGTAGTCCAGGAAAATAAGCTGTACCTCATCTAATGGAAAAATAGTGCTGGAGAGCAAAGGAAACAAGTAAATTGGGGTGTAGGCTGAAACAAATACTTCAGTGTGGGGAGAGCTGTAGTGCCTCTGCACATAAGCTTATCGTTTTCTTTGGGATGTACTGTGGTGAGCTGAGCCTAGCTGGGTGCCCACCCAAGCTGCTCTGCCACTGTCCTCCTCAGCTGGGCAGGGGAGAGACAGGATCATGAAGGTCTCGTGGGTCGAGATAAGCTCAGGGAGATCACTCACCAAGTACCATCATGGGCAAAACACACTCAGCTTGAGGAAATTAGTTTAATTTATTACAAATCAAATCAGCGAATGGTATTGAGAAAATAAACCCAAATATGAAAAACACCTTCCCCCCACCCCTCCCTTTTTCCCAGGCTTCACTTTATTCCCAGTTTTCTCTACGTCTGTCTGCCAAGCAGTGCAGAGGGATGAGAAATGGGGAATGTGCTGAGTTCATCAGAAACAGTTCATAGAGAACAATTCAGAAACAGTTCACACAGTTTCTGCTGCTCCTTTCTCCTCAGGGGGATGACTTCTTATGCACTTCCCCTGCTCCTGCATGGGGTCCCTCCCACAGGAGACAGTCCTCCACAAATTTGTCCAGTGTTAGTCCTTCCAAGGGGCTGCAGTTCTTCATGAAATGCTCCAGGGTGGGTCCCTACCATGGGGTGTAGTCCTTGAAGAACAGACTGCTCCAGCTTGGGTCCTCCAGGGGGGGTCACAAGTCCTGCCAGTAAACCTGCTACAGCAGGGGCTCCTCTCTTTTCACGGGTCTTGCCAGGGGCCTGCTCCAGCATGGGCTTCCCACAAGGTGACAGCCTCCTTCAGGCATCCTCTGGCTCTGGGATGGGCTCGTCCATGAGCTGCAGATGGGTATCTGCTGCACTGTGGACCTCCACGGGCTGCAGGCGACAGCCTGCCTCACCATGGTCTGCAGTGTGGCCTGCAGGGGAATCTCTGCTCTGGCGCCCCCCCTCCCCCTCCTCCTTCCCTGGCCTTGATTTCTGCAGAGTTGTTTCTCTCACAGATTCTCACTCCTCTCTCCAGCTGCAATTTATGTTGTGCAGCAACTTTTTTTCCTCCCATCTTAAATATGTTTTCACAGATGTGTTACCACCATCATCAATAGACTAAGCCTTGGCCCATGGCAGATATATAGAAAATAAATATTTATAAAAATAAGGTATATTTGTAAAAGTAAGCTACATATTAAAATAAGGTTGCAAAACTTTACACATGCAAGCTGGGAAATGCTAATGTGGTAGAATCTTCATTAATGACTACCTGCTTTACCCTGTGCTGTGTAGCTCAGCCTTTCCTACTCCATTTGTTCAGTTGTGTTGTTTTTTTTTCTCTTTGTGATTGTGCATCTGCATGATAAACTGGATTAAGGAACTAATGTGCTGAAGAAAATTCCTTCTAAGCTGTTTTTTCGGATGTGTCAGTTCCTTGTTCGGTTTGAGGAGTGACGTTGCAGTGGCTTTGCAGGTAGCAGAGCGAGGCTGGTGACTTGACAGTGGCAGCTACCAAGTATTTGTCAAACCATCTAAATGGCTTTTGCTGTTACTGTGTGTCCTGTTACCCATCAAATGGGATGTGTCCTTCACAGTTGTCCCTGTGCTGTCCTAGTGGGATTGAACAGCTACTTCACAGTTATTTGGGATAAAGGTGAGAGCACAGTTATTCACTGTCAATCGAAGTGATGATGGGGTAGTGTTTTCACTGCTTCTCCAGTGGTTCTAAAGTTGAGGAGGTTAATCTCTTGCTTTTTTGTATAGGAGGTGGCTCTGTTTGGCAAGGAGTTGTATTTTGAGTAGATATAGAATCATAGAATTGTCATGGTTGGAAGGGATCTGAAAGATCAACTGGTTCTAACCCCCCTGCCATAGGCAGGGACATCTCCCACTAGATCAGGTTGCTCAGAGCTCGATCCAGCCTGACCTTAAAAACTTCCAGGGATGGGGCTTCCACCACCTCCCTGGGCAACCTGTTCCAGTGTCTCACCACCCTCGTGGTGAAGAACTTCTTCCTAATGTCTAATCTGTATCTACCTACTTATGGTTTTGCTCCATTCCACCTGGTGCTATCACTACCCAACATCCTAAAAAGTCCCTCACCAGCTTTCCTGTAGGTCCCCTTAAGGTACTGGAAGGCCCCTCGTAGCCTTCTCTTCTCCAGACTGAACAGCCCCAACTCTCTCAATCTGTCTTCATTCATAGGAGAGCTGCTCCAGCCCTCAGATCATCCTTGTGGCCCTTCTCTGGACACGTTCCAGCACTTCCATGTCTTGTAATGGGGGCTCCAGAACTGGATGTAGTGCTCCAGGTGGAGTCTCACCAGAGCAGAGTAGAGGGGGAGAATCCCCTCCCTCGACCTGCTGGCCACACTTCTCTTGATGCAGCCCAGGATCTGGGTGGCTTTCTGGGCTGCACGTGCACACTGCTGGCTCATGTTGAGCTTCTCATCCACCAGCACCCCCAAGTCCCTCTCCTCAGGGCTGCTCTCCAGCCAGTCCCTGCCCAGCCTGTACTGGTGCCTGGGATTGCCCTGACCCAGATGCAGGACCCTGCACTTGGCCTTGTTGAACTGAATATGTAGTATTAATATTGCATGACTGTGCTTTGTGTGGTCTACCACTTATAATTTGCCTTCATTCTAGAGGTTCTGGAGCACCTCTCCTATGACAGGCTGAGAGAGCTGGGGTTGTTCAGCCTAGAGGAGGATCTGGGGAGACCTTCTGGTGGCCTTCCAGTACCTGAAGGGGCCTATAGGAGAGCTGGGGCAGGACTGCTCACAAGCACGTGCAGCGATAGGAGGAAGGGCAATGGTTTTAAACTGGATCAGAGGAGATTTACCTTAGATATTAGGGAGAAGTTCTTTACTATGAGTAGTGAAGCTCTCTGCCACTCTCTGCCCAGAGAAGTGGTGGAGGCCTCACCCCTGGAGATATTCAAGGCCAGGCTTGATGAGGCTCCGAGCAGCCTGCTCTAATTGAAGATGTCCCTGCTCAGTGCAGGGTGGTTGGACTAGATTGCCTTTAAAGGTCCCTTCCAACCTGAAGCATTCTGTGAGTCTCCCTCTGGTGCTGAATAAGAATGGCTGAATTCTGTTTATTTGTCTTTGCAAATTTCTGTGTAACTTTTTTGACCAGGAGGCAGGGTTGATGGTTCCTTTTCAGATTCTAGATGTAGCATTTGACGTTTTGTTCTGGAATCCATGAAAGAAGAGCACACTAGTTATTTCCTCTCTTTGGTGGAGATAGCCATATTGGGTTAGCCATATTTTGGAGGCATCTGGGTAGTGTTTGTGACCCCACTGTGAGACTGTTCGATGCCTGGTGTCCTCTGTCAATGACACTGTCACTTGTTTATTATTGCTCTGAAATAAATGTAATCTTTGTATCTTGTGTTTACTGGTAGCAGCCTGGCTCTCTGCCTAAGGTAGCTTCAGGGATCAACTTAGGTGGTGCCAGAGGGATTGTGGAGCAGCCTGAAGGTAACTAGGGTTCCTTGCCCAAGGAATTTGCTTATCATTGGGGAGATTCTTCAGAAAAAGAAGAACTTTTGGTGCTTCTAAGGAGGAAATAGAAATATACCTGGTTTTGGACATGTCCTTACAACTAAGAGGTTTAGATGTGGTGGTGTCTTCGAGGGTTTGTTGAGAAGTCAGCGCAGGTAGATTGAGTCATTTCTGGAATGAAGCATGTTCCTAACGAGTGGACGCTGCTTCAGATAACCTCTCAGTGGCAGGCCAGAGTGGTTTGTTCTGCTCTGTAGAGTAGAAGGAAGGTGGGGTGTTGGTGATTTTGAAGGACACTTCTCTTGTTTTCTTTTAAGCTCCTGTTCTGGTGGTCTGTGCGTTTAGTGTGGCAAGCTTGCAGATAAATATTCAGAGGTGTGCTTCATGTCTTCAGGCATTTACGTTACAGGAAGGAGTTTTATGCTTGTTTTCCCTAAGTTAACACATCAACTCAGGCATGACATAATTGTGTTCCTTAAACTCTAGATATAGTATTTATGTAGCTGGAATTAAAAAATGTCACAAGAAATTCTGATAGTGTTGGGTTTTTTTTAATTTTAAATCTGACTGTGGCAGCTTTATGTGCATAACAACGCTTTAAAGATTGCATTGGAGTCTGCTCTGGGTCACACAGGAAGACATTCTAATGGCTTACTAATAGTTGGTCAGGCTCTAGTAGCCTGACTTCCCTAGAAGAGTCAGTTCAAGCTAAAGATTAACTGATATATTGTTTATTCCATCTCTGAAGGTTATGACTGTAGATGTCAAGCTACACTAATACACAACTGCTGACTTTTGATGTTTTCTATGTATGCTGTTGGCACAAAAGCAAAATATTTAGATATGACAACTGTACATATTGCTGGTTTGCCACTGTTTTCACTGCTCACTTCAAAACTGGAAGAGGACTTTTTATTTCATGTTGAAATTGTCACTTTCTTTGAGTTGAATTCCGGCTAGGGTCTGTGTCTGAGGGAGAAGACAGCAGCAAATCTTGGAACAATGGAAAGTGATGTGTAGGTCTGGCTACCTTCTGGAAATTAAATGTAGTTGAGACTTTTGGATTTCCTGCCCTTGGGTCTTGAAACCTGTAGCAGTTTAGAGGTGTCGATGCCCTCTGCTCCTTGTAAATGCAGTGGCTTGCTGCTGTCTGTGTAGTTGCTTTCAGCATTAGCCTCAGGGTGTCCGAGTGTCTTTGGAGGGTGTGTATGTTAGCTTGGAGCAAGTCTGGTTTTGATTTCTAAGGGTAAGTGAATGAGTTCTGTGGGAAAGTGAGCTTCTGTCAGTATTTTACTGCTCTGCAGGTTTTCTAGGCATGCAGCATTTGACAATACTAAAGCAGGCTAAGTATCTTGGACCTTAAAAGCCAATTTTGTCTTCAAAGAAAGACAGAAGGTTCCGAACTTGTAGTGTGTGTAGTGGTCTGATTTTATTTTTTTCAAATGTGGTCCAATCCTGTAGAGTATATCCATCCTTTTTTATTGTTTTAGTTTTTGCAATGTTAAAATTATTGAGCAATTGGATAAAATTAATGTCCTTTAGGTAGCTGCAAAGAACTGTAGATACCTCAATAAAAGAAATTATGCCTTGATGTGATAGCTTCATATTTGCTGCAGATTAGTAATTCTTTCTTATATTAAGAAAACCAGTAACCTTGCCTCCCAAATGTAAAACCAAAGAAAAACCCCCTAACCTTCAGAATGACTTTGGTTAAATCATTCAAACAGAAAAAGGAACAAGAGCTGCTGGAGGAAATGCATGATAAAAAGGAGGAGTCACAAGTTTCTGAATCATCTTGAGAAACCAAGAAGCTTTAAAAATGGTGGTCTTACAAATTCATGCTTTATAAATCTTACAAGCACAGAGCTTTAAAATGTGGTTACAGGACTCCTGATAGACAGCTGAAGCTCAATCAAAGTGATTTTTATCACTGTGTAGACATAGCTGGGAAAATAAGAAGTTAAATGGCTGTTAGGAAGAGGGATAGAGGGAAGTTTTGGTTATTTGCATTGTTTGCTTAAAGGTGCTGGGACATTCCTGTCTCTTTGAAGAGAAGATGAGGAAAATGTTGTGATAGCATCATAGTAGCTGGTACCAGCTGTCTGAGGCTGCCCACATGTTTTTTTTTTTTTCTTTTTGTTTTTGTTCTTGTTGTTTGTTAATGTTTACTACATAATCAGTTATTTCAATTTTAAAACAAGGTGAATGGAAATGGATACGTTTGCAATTACTAAAACTATTAATCAAATATATGGGATCCCTGATAAAATATTAACTTATTTACAATGCTGTCAAATCTCTTATATTTTGTATAGATTGGAAAGTATCTTTTTGAAATGCACTTACAAAGCAATAAAGAGTAAACCCTAACATCTTTTCCTTTCAAGGGAATATCAATCCCCTTGTTTGGTGTGGTTTTTTTTTTTTTTTTTGTCTTTTTCCCCCCACTGTGGTCTAAAATATGATGAAAGCTAAAAGCTTGAAAGCTTTTTTTTTTTTTGGAAGTTGATGGATGTCTTCTAATAGCCTGGTTATAAAGAAGCATCTCTCTTCCTAGGCTGTGGCTTTTTCAGACATTAAAGCTGAAAATTAAAGGTTCACCTTGTGTTGTCTTTGAAGTGCTTCCTAAATGGCAGTATTCTTATAAACAAGCCACTCATTTGTTACTTTGATATCAATATTATCCATGAGTCCCTAACCTGGCCAGCATTGTTTGAAACATGAGAGGCTTCTAGTTATGGGTTTTTAAAGTCCAGTATTTGTGGCAGATGAATTGTCCTCATCTCCCCAACAACTATTCAATTCCATCTTTAACAGGCAAGGAAGAACACAAGTCAATCTAAAAGATGTGTGGCAGCAGCATGGTCATCTTTGGCTAATTACTTTTTCACCTAAAATTAGTTCAGTTTTAGTAGAAGAACTTCAGTCCTTTGGTCAAGGTCTACCACCAGCTTTATTAATCTTCCATCTAATAAGTCTTAATTTCCTTTCCTCAGTGTATATGAGAATATTTCTTACAAAGCAGCTAGAATACAGGAATAGCACATGTGTTATGGGACCACTTATGCCACTTATGTTCTTTGCTTGAAAAATAAATAGGTAAAAGATGGCTTTTGGGTGAGGCCATCCTCAAGACACAGCTGTTTAAGTGAAAGATAAGAACACGTTGTACGTCTTATTTGTTTCAAGAATCCAGGAGCGCCAAGTAAAAAACAAACACAAAACAAAACACCCCAAACACCAAAAAATCCCCAAACAAAAAACCCCAAATGTTTCCTGTAAGTTTACAAGGGTTTTAATAGAACCTCTAGTCAGGGAGTATACGGAAGCTTACCCAGATTGTGGAAAGGGTGGATTAAAAGAACCCGTGGCACACAGCTTTGCAAGGTGGAAGAGGCATTTGACTCAGTGGAAATGTAAGAGGAGATGAGTCTTGGAAATAACAGAGTAATGTCTGATAATTTCATCCCCTCTGACTTCTGTATTGATGATGATGTGCACAATCTTCTTTCCTGAAGCACTCATGGTATTAACCAGTAAAGCTAGTCACATGTTAAAGTCTTGGATATTTTCAGGACTGTTTTATTTAAAACTAGTTTTTCTTATGTGGAATACTTAGCTGTACTATTTTGACAAGTTTCTTTGTTTTGATGGTAAGTTTTATATTATAACAGACCCTCAATATTCTGTCAGCTCTTCAGCTGAATCTACACTGTTCTGAAAGAGCACTGGTGATGGCAGTAACCCCTTGAATATTAAGTTAAAGAAAAGGTCAAGCAGACGTCTGTTAGCTTATAGGTACCTACAGCAGTCTACTTTCAAGCCCACTTGCTGTGTGTTTGGATGAGCTTGCATCCATATCAGTTTTTAAACGACCAGGAAAAACTGAAATGTTACAATTACTGAAAGCTAAAAATACATAAAGAACCAGGTTCTCTATACTCCTTAAAATTTCCTTCAGTGCTTGTGGCAAATTTAAAATGACAATTAAGTTTATTTTTTATGACTTATTGCAGGCTGAATTAGATTATTACAGAATCACAGAATGGCAGGGGATGGAAGGGACCTCTGGAGATCATCTAGTCCAATCTCCATGCTAAAGCAGGTTCACCTAGAGCAGGTTGCCTAGGAACATGTCGAGATGGGTTTTGAAGGTCTCCACAGCAGGAGACTTCCTGTTATGTGTTACAGTTTTAGCATAATATGCCAGCTCTTTGTATGTAATTTCTTACAACTATTTCCACCGACATTCAGCTTCCAGAATTTTAAGAATTAATTGAAGAATGTTGTTGAGCAAAGGTGATGCATAGAGAAGGCTTTAGAGAGATTGTTTTGTCACTAGTTTTAAATTCTTTGTAAGGGAGACCTTCTGTAGAAAGGAGCTGGTTATGTTGTTCTGTGGGATACAGGATTAATGAAGTGATACTGTTGATATCTCAAGTTCAAGAAAATGTTTATTTGGTGGTTGATCTTGGCTGGTCACCAGGTGCCCAGCAGACTGCTCTATTACTCTCCCTGCATCAAAAGATCAGGGAAAAAAACATGACAAGAAGTTATTGTGTTGAGGTAAGGGCAAGGAGATCACTCACCAAATACCACCATGGGCAAAACAGACTATACTTGAAGTCATTAAACTTATTTATTCATGATGAAACAGATTTCTCTTGCGTATTCTCACTCCTCCCTCTGGCTACTGTTGTGCAGCAGTTTTCACTCCGTAAATGTTTTATCACAGAGGTGCTCCCTTCTTCACCGAGTGGCTCAGCTTTGGCTGGTGATGGGTTTGTCCAGGAGCCAGCTGTAAGTGGTTCTGTCTGACCTGGATGGATGTTGCTTCTGGTGTCTTCTCATAGAAACCATCCCTGGAGCCCCTATGCTACCAAAACCTTGCCACATAAACCAAATAGAGAGTTTGAAATATCTTCCTGTTTGTATTACTTACGGTTTCATATTTTTCTTTTCAGAGGGCAGATGATTTCAGGTGAAGACTGTGAATTTATTCAAAGATTTGAACAGAAAAGAAATCCAGAAGAAAAACAGGAGTTGTTGCAAACGGAAGGCAATCAAGTAACTTTCTTTTAATAATCTGTCTTTTGGGGGAGGAGGATGGAAGGAAACTTTCTTACAAACTCTATTTTATTGTTGGCTGTATACAGTCAAGATGTTATGGAAGAAGTATAAAACTTGCTATTATGATTCTTCTTTCCTATATGTAGGTTGGACATAATTTCTAAAAACTGTTAAATAATTATGAAATGCCATCTGAATTTGTAGAGCAAGCTAGCTCAAGTCTTTCCTCATCCCAGTTTACTTGATCATGCACACTTGTACTTCAGTCATGTTTTTTGGAGCTTTTTCCCTTCCAGTTTATTGATGAGAGCTACTGACAGTGAGGTTTCTGCTCAGCTAGCTGAGCAATTATAATGGAGTTCCAGCAGCAGGGTCCATGGGCTGCTGAGGTGGACTCCATTAAACACAGGTGTCTGGTGTCATTTTATGAATGCTAAGATATGAGACATTGGCCATAGCTGATAGAAGGTTGATAGGTGGCCCATGCTGTTTGGCTTAAAGTCCAGGCAGGATGCCCAAAGATGCTTTAATGCTGTTCAAAGCAGTAGAATCTCAGCCTTGAAGCCTGAGGTTCTAGGAGACAATGTCAGCATCAAGAAGATTGGGAACGGTGAGGAGTAGGAGATGGACTCAAGACACAAAGCTTGCAGTCTTCTTTTTCTATTTCAATTTTTGGCTGTTCTGTGTGTCTGTGTTCTGTGTGTCTGTTTGTGTGGTGTGTGTGGGTGGGGTGGTTGTGTGTGTTTGTTTTTTTTTTTTTTTTTTTTTTTTTTTTTTTTTTTTGTTTGTTTGTTTGTTTGTTTGTTGGTTGGTTTTTTATTCCTCCTTCTCCCAGACTGCATTGTGTGACTGCTGCGTAATGGGCCATAATTTGCCTAGGGACCATTATAGGCCTCTTCATAATTGTGATATAGCACTTTAAAGTTCCATTTTTCTTTCAGTTGTGTGGTGAAGGGGAAGGAAGTGTAAGGAGTAGCGTTGTGACTGTTTCAGACCATTATATGTTGTCGCCAGCAGTCGGACCCGGGATGGCGGCCACTCAACCTCTGCCGCTGAGGGCCATGGAGACACAGGCTGCCGCGTGGGGGGGGCCGCACGTGTGGAGGATGCAGCACGTGGCGTTTATCGCGTCATTGCGATGGGTTCTCTGTGTTAATCCCCGCCCACAGCGCCCCTCGCGGGCGGCCTGAGCTCTCCGGTACATCGCACATCTTCCCAACGCCCATCCCTGCCTAGGGCGGGCTCTGCCTGCTACAACAGTTATATCTGTTCCTGAAATTGTAGAGTGTTCAGGAGGCAGAAACCAGCTCAAATATGAACAAGGTGTAGGAAGTGAACAGTTAAGAGTGACCCAGCTTCCCTCCCTCCCATTCTGGTTGCTGAGACTTTCTTATACCATGTCTGAGTTTGTTGCTGTTTTGTTGATTTACTTAGTTGTTCTCGCTGCCATGATGAAGGATACTGATGGAGATTTTTCTAATGAGTCTTTCAACAAAGCACCTTGCTGACTTCCTGTAGCAAGTATTTGTTATTTTATTTGAAAGCCTTAAAAAAATTTGTGAAGAGTAACGATCTATGTGACAGAAAATTGTCTTTCTAATATAATGACAAATGTATTCATCTCATTGCAATTGAATATGATGTTGGGATGCTCAATGCATATGTAAGACTTAACTGTGAATTAATGAGGTCCTGTTTCATGTTATCAAAAGAAATGAAGACAATTGCTAATATTAATTTTAATCTCTTTTATTTTTCTAGTGTGCTAAAACATTTATAAACTTGATGACTCATATCTCCAAGGAACAGACGGTTCAGTACATTCTGACTATGGTTGATGATATGCTGCAAGTAGGTCAAAAACCTCTTATTTTTAAGCATTAAATGAATACTTGAATGTTTCCTTAGCCTAAGACAGGTCGCTCCAGGTGTTTGTCATATTCTATTAAAAATTTTCTTTTAAATTTTCAGATCTTGTCTTCAGGAATTAAATGTTAGACCTAAAGTATGAGTAATTTAGTCTTGTGTGTATATATATGTTTGTGTTCCGGAAATAAAACAGTCCTGTATGCTTGTCTGTCAGCTATCAACCATGTTTGATGCAAAACTGAAGGAATGGTTTATAAACTCAACTCTTTCCTGTTGTGTAGATAGCATATGACTTCTAATTTGAAGTTGTTGAAGCCTTTCCTACAAAGGTGTTAATTTGGTCACTCATCAGGAAGGTGTAGTTTCTGCAGCTTCAGGTTTCCAACATAAGCTAGACTGTTTAGTACAGCATGTTCTGAAATTCTGCATGGTTTAATTATAACCCAGGAACTTTGGATTCAGTGAAATATATAGCTCTTCGTAGCTATGGGATACAGTGATTTATAAGTGTAGGCCATTAAATTTGGTGTCAGGACTGCTGTTCTGACTGGAACAAGTCAAGAGGAGACTTTGCTCAGAAAATCTCATTTCTGCACTTCTTTGCTCTCTAGTAGACTAAGAGGAAGCAGTTGGAGTAATGATGTAACAACATGGGTTGAGTTGCCTGAGGTTTTCTCCTGGTATTCTTGTAGCCAGTTTCTCTTCTCCTGTTTTCTGTTACATTTAATGGAAGGTTACAGTGACATGTGCCTAGTGAAAAGTTAACGGTTTATGGCATTGTCCTAGGTGGGGAACCACACGAGTTCTAATTGCACATCTGAGTATTCAATCTTGTCAAAAGGCAAGCTGGAAGTGTGAACCTCTCCACAGTGCCTACAACATGGGGATGATGGTGTTCTTTCAAGTGCCTGTCTGCACATGAGAGCCCTGAATGAGTGCCCTAACTTCTGAAATAATAGCTCGTGGTGGTGATGACAGTGATTCATTCATGCCCATCTGCAGCTTTGTCACTCTAACCCTCTTCCTCTTTAGATTTACTTTTTCTTAAGAGTGATGCAAACATCAAGAAGCAGAGGAGACAAAAGGGAGCCTCAATGTCGTTCCTCTTTTAGGACACTGAGTTGGCAGTACCTTGTTTTGATTTATGCATTTGATGACAAACTTTGTCTTGGTGTGTGAGAACTCCTTATTATGGCTACTTTTGTGAAGGAATGGGTCTTGTATTTGGTGTGAGATGTATTGGTGGCCACAGAAGTAATTGTTTAACTTGCCCTCTTGTGGAACTTTAAATGAATGTTAGTAGGTCTTGTTTTGTTTGTGCTTTGACACTAGCACATAGCCTGTAGGTACAATATGTGATAGCAGATATAATCTCCCATGCTGTGGAATTAATACCCCACAGGTAGAGACTTTCACTCGCCCACTTTTGAACAATTGCATTAGTTGTGGGTGGTCACAGAAAGTAGTTTTGAGTATCTCATTTTTTTGCATTGGTTCTCTTGTATATGTCTAGATGAATGTGTTTTCTTAGCCTTATGGTCACGCACGGACGTTTCTGTATTTGGGGCCTTACCTTGACACAGGAATGCATTAAACATTATAATGAGTTTACATTGGCCATGCTTTGTAAGTGATACAGGAGAACAGAGATTTTGGTACACAGTACATATTTGCTTCTGTTTGAAATTGGATGTTTCCTTCACTTCAGAAAGTTTGCTTCAGTGTCTGAAAGGCTGCACTGGCTTTTGCATTGCTCTGTGTGATTCCATTATTTTGGGGTATCTTGCTCCTTGCATAGAGCACTTGTGTGCCAACATGTGGATGGCATCATCTTGGGGCTTCCTAGCCCTCCATGTCTCTAGTCAAGGCTGAAACAGGACTTCTGTTTTCTTTTGATCGTTTTCAGATGGTAGAACATGCTGTCAGTGATGACTTACAAACCCTTGGGTGCACATCTTCAAGGTGGAAGATTCTTGTCAGAAAGCAGCATATTGGCCATTGAGTCTGTGACTGTGAGTTTGGTATTTGTGGACTGCATGGACAGAAGAACCCACAATAGTGGATATGAATTCTCCTGTCTTCATCCAAGTAGTCTTGAGTACATGCAAAGATTTTAAGTGAGGAGTTGGTCAAGGGTGTGGACTGGCATGCTGCTACTGACTCAGTAAAATTGTTTTGAGCAAGGATGTTCACTGTGTTCACTGCAGTTTCATGGGAAAAATATTTGGAAGATAGTTTTGGTAGTTGAAACTTCTAGAAACTATCACAGGTAACAGTGTTCAAATTTTGTTTGTGATGATAATGACTGCCTGTGGCTCTTCTATTATCTTTCTGTGTTTTTCTTGTGAGGTGGTTAAAATTGCCTCAGCAGTGTTTTGAGCACACCAAAAGCCTACCTGAGCATCTAGGGTTGTTCCAGCAGTTCTACTTAGATTTGATCCTAGTTCTAAGGAAAATTTCTTTTGGAGCCTCGCAGAGGTGTAATTGATGTGGTGACTGCCTTATAAGAATATCACCACTCTGCTTACTTTTGAAGGTGGAGAGTATTGGCACAGGGGAATCCCTGGGGAAACCTTTCTTATTCTATTCATATGATAAATACTTGCAATGATTTTTCTGGATTAGTGACCTTGTCACACTGCACAGTCTGTTGCTTATGAAATCTTTAAGAACTTGCCCTCTAGCTGGTGCAACCCAAGTGAGCTTTATTATGCTTTGTCAGAAATGACAGATACTAAATTATTCAACTGTTGATGAGAGAGCTTTGGGATTTCCTTTTTACCACGGAGTCAGTAGCTGTCTAGGAAGGTGCAGCATGTTTCAGGGCTGTAGACAGTTCTCTGCTCCTTCCCTCCTGTCTATACGCTCCATCTTAACAGTAAGCCAGACTAGTCTTCTGATTGGCAGTGTGTTGAAGTTATTTCAGCTTTTCTGCTTCCAGACCTGTCTGTCTCCTCCTTAGTTGTGTTGTAAACTGAAGTCAGTGATTGGGTTATTTTTGACCTTTTCAGGTAGGCTGTGGTAGCAGGAGTAGATGCTAACAGCAGTTTATTTGATTGAACTGCCAGTTTTCATCCAGCCAGCTCTCACAGAGTGGAGGTTCTCCACCAAGGCTGTATTCACGAGATCTTACTTTTAAAATTTGATTTCAGTTTGAACAAGAAATTTTGAGAGGGTTTTTGGGTGCTTTTTGACACATGCTGTATAGAGCACTAATCACTGTGAGGGTCATGATTGTCTTGATAACCAGTGACCCTTACTACAAGAAGAATGTTGAGGAGCAATGTAACTGGTGAAGGGTTTAGAGAACAAGTCTTATAAGAGGAAACTGGGGTTGTTTAACCTGGAGAAAGGAATGCTCAGGGAAGAACTACTCAGCTTCTACAGCTACCTGAAAGGAGGCTGTTGTGAGGGAATGGTGTGTCTTGTTCCACAAATAACAAGTGATAGGACAAGGGTGAACAGACTCAAATCGTGCCAGGGGCGGTTTAGATGAGATATTAGGGAAACTTTCTTCCCTGAAGGAGTTGTCAAACCCTGGCCCAGGCTACCCAGGACGCTGGTGGAGTCCGCATCCCTGGGGGCTATTTAAAAGTCATGTAGATGTGGTGCTGAGGTTGTGTTGTGGTGACCTGGCAGTGCTGTGTTAATGGTTGCACTTGATGATCTTGAAGGTCACTTCCAACAAGAACAACTCTATGACACCTGACCTTCCTGAGTCACTGATCAGGACAGCAATTTGCAGCATATGTGGTTCAGCAACTTTGATACTTTCAGTGAAGTTACTTTGTTACTTTTCAGTGAAGGGTTGGTTGCAAATCTGATGCTTAGTAACATGCCAGTGTTCAGATACATTCAGGTCATCCTGTGCTTCATGGATGGTATTCCAACAAGCAGGGCTGTCTAGCTGAGTCTTGGTCCATAGAGTTAAAACAGGGTGCTTAACTGATGGAGGAACGCCCTTCTGCTAGAGGAGTCTGAAATGAAATTCATTGGCTAGGGGATGCTCATACACTGTTCTCATGCCAGTTCCTGAATTACAGCATTTCAGTTTTGCATTCCTTGGCAGGAGTTGTGTACTTGATCGTAGTAGTTGACTTGAGTGGGAAGACATCTGTTTAGAGTGAAAGTTTACTATCCACCAGGGTACAAAGTGTATGGGAATGCTGAGGAAAAGCAAGAATCCAGGTGGCTGATTTGTCTGGAACACTGTCTATATCCTAGGCTATTGGGAAATAGCAGAGCTTCTCTTTCTTATTCAAGTTTGCATGGCCTCTTCTCTGGTCTGCTTTAAGGAAAACCATAATAGCTGCTTTCCATGGTAGTTATTAAGTGAAGTACTTGTAGAAACTGTGCACAGTGCTGAGGTTCAGGTACTTGGTTCAGCCCAGAAGCCCCAGAGAATGGACTTGTGGTAGCTCTGCCCTATCCTGGGTGTGCATGTGGCCTAAAATAACACCTGGGAGAGAAGAGCTCATTTCCCATTGAAAGGAATGGAGAGGCAGGACTGGCTTTTCTCTCCAAAGTTTCACGTGTAGCACACGCAGCCAAGCTAACAACAGGCTTTTGTGTGGATGTGGCAATACGGGGAGAACTTTACATGGATGTTGTTCAAGCGTAACTGATTGGATGAAGAGTAATGTTCCTCTAGAAAATGACAGTGTTTAACTTGTCTCATTTCCCTCATTTTTGCTTGCTTGATCAAAAAGATACATGCATTTTTACTCAAGCAGGTGTTGGACTACTGAGCTATAACTAGGGTTTCAAAGTTTGTTTCCCCCCACCTAAAATTTTTGACCTTAAGGTTGGAGTGCTGAAATAAACTGTATCCTCGGGTAACTGTCAGAGATCTCCATGGGCCGTTACAAACCAGGATACACTCTGATAATGTATGACAACATAACTGGGACCAAATAGCAGCTTGTGGAATGCTTTTGAGTGTCATCTCTCTCCCAATTTTTTACAGGAAAATCATCAGCGTGTTTCTATCTTCTTTGATTATGCAAAACGTGGTAAAAACACTGCATGGTCCTATTTTCTGCCAATGTTGAATCGACAAGATCTTTTCACTGTGCATATGGTAAGTTTTAAATGAACCTCTCTTGGAAGATGGTATAGAGAAATGCTGGTTTTATTTTTCTTTAGGAGATTTTAGAGTTTGAAGCTAAACTACTGCCTGGACTGGAAAGTTTTCTTCTTGCAGCCTAGATGAGTCATTCTTAATATAAGCTTCACTTGACCACATTGTAGAAAGAAAAGTTACATTGTTTTTTTCTGGAAGATTAGAGAAGGTTTTAAAGGCTCAGAAAAGCAAGAATTTTAGAATTAATGAAGCACAGTAAGGTATAACTAGAAAAATAACTTCTGTCAAAACTGCCACTCAATGCTCCTCATGCTGTACAAATATTAGAATCTGAGTTCTCAACCTGTGAAAAAGAAATATCTTTACCCTGATGTACCTTATTCTCTCATATGCCCAATTTACTACAGTGCTGTGTGAAATCTGGTAACCATAACAGGGAAGAAGTGATATCTGTTGTAGTGGGTTGACCCTAGGTGACAAGAAAGCTCCCCTCAGTTGCTTGTATAGTCCCCTGCAATGGGACTGGGGAGAGAACTGAGGAGGGCAGAAGTGAGAAAACATATGGGTCAAGATAAAGGCAATTTAATAAGCAAAGAGGGGAAAAAGGGGGAGGGGGGCTGGAACTCAAAACAAATCTAAGAAAAATTATACAAGAGCAATAACACAGACTGATGCCCAGCCAGGGATCTCTTTGTTCAGCTGTCCTGGGTGTCCCCTCCCAGCCTCTTGGCCCCCTTCTAGCCTACTCACTGGGAGTATAGAGTGAGAAACAGGGAATTCCTTGATGCTGTGCAAGCACTGCTCAGCAACAGCTAAAACATTGGTATGTTATCAACACTATTTTGGTCACCAGTCCAAACCACAGCATCATATGGGCTGCTATGAAGAAAATTGTGTCCCAGCCAAACCCAGTACAACCATGTGAGTTATGACCTGTGTTCTCTACAGTTATCTACTGTGATGGGAGCCACTGGGTGCTGTTACTATATATGGAGTAACTTTTACATACATTTTAAGTTTACAGTCTTATGCCTTTTAGTATTCTTTGTGCATATGTTTTTTTCAAAGCACATGAATGTTTTCAAAACCAAGTTTTAGTATTGACTTTTTTCTTTTGGTTCCATTTTTTTTCTTTCTTGCTGTGCACATTGGAAGACTTTTGATGCCATGTCATTGTATCTGCATAAAAGTCCTCTGTGTCTAGACCCAAATTCTGCTCAGCATGAATGGTCTCTCATTCAGGGGCCAGGTGGTGGTTTTAATGTGGGAGCACAGTAAGCTAGAGATCTAGTAGCTCATGTTTTAAAGGGGGGGGATTTTATAGGGGTGCTTGGCCACATTCAGAAGTGGGTTTGATGCACTTCAGTGTAGAGATCATTGTTCCAGATTCTTCTTCATAATCCTTCTAGCTATCTAAAAACTCTGGCTGCAGAGTGAGCACATTTAGTGGGTGCTTGCGGGGTTTTTAATGTAAATGGAAAACTTCATGTGTGTTAAGGCATAGAGTGTGGCCTGGACAGGGTGATCCTCTTCTGTTCCCCACCCTGCTACAGGTGCCCTGTGAGACCTTTGTCCTTCTATTTATCTTCTTTCTCCATCTGTAACAAGATCATGTAACACAAAGATCATAAAAAATACAGATATCTCTTAATTTCCATGAAATTTTGAGATCATGAGATATAAGCCATCATAAAGGCATGGGCATGGATGTAGACTTCCTTTTCCAAACTTTTTTGATACTTCCAAGTGATCCTGGAGTTCAGCGTTATTTTCTGTATCCATATTTTTTTATTTTAATCCTCAGTGTAACATGGACTGCTAGTACTACAAATTGTTCTGAAACAGGTATGGCTTGTTTTAAATTGTGGTTGTACTGGCTAATGCTCAGTGAGTGGTCAAAGCCAGGCAGCTCAGAAAGCCTCTCTTGTGTTGTTACTTTTCTGTTCTCAGAACATCTGTTTAAAAGGTGATTTAAACTCTTTGACCATGGAAGGTGGCTTGTTTCTTTTTTAATCATAATATCGATTAAATTAACCACATAAATCAGTGGTTGTGGTGCAGTAGAGCCGGAGGGTGCCTGGAATCCTCTCTTCCCTCCACCATGGAGCTGTATTACAGGCAAATGAACCCCTTCTTCAGTGGTTTCTTGTTTAGAAACCACTAATTCTGCAAATAAGCTGCAGGCTGCAATGCAGAGTACTCCAAACATAATTTGGAAAGGTTGGCATAGAAATATACTCTTGTTATATGTGTTCTTGTGCCACAGGCATCATGAACAATTCTTAACCTGACTACACTTTTACTCCTCAGCTTCATTCTTAAATCCTACGTTTTCTTTTGGTTTTCTGCTCTCTTTCTGGGCTTGAACCTTCTCCCTTGTTGAAGACTACTTACTTCAGTTTAAGTACAGAAAACTTTAATACATGGCAATCATTTGTGATAATGTATGTTGTTGCTTAAAGTGTAGTTGTCATGCCATCAAGTGCCTTCCTGTTGATGGATCTCTGACTGTAATGTTGTCCCACAGCAGTAGCCCACTGACAACTCCCCTCATCCCCTTCCAAATTCTTTGTTGGTGCCTTGTGAACTTGTCCTGGTTTGGGGTAAAGTAGTTCAATTATTTTAACTTTTTAGCTAAAGCTCTTCTAATGAACTGCTCTGTCTGAAGTTAGCAGTGTTTTTATAAACTGACTGGTTTTAGCAGTGATAAGACTTCTCGTTTAGAGTTACTGCCGGGGGTTGGTGTGCAGACCAAGGCCACTGCTGAGCTTGGATCCCACACAGAGGGGGCAGAGAGTACCCCACACCTGTGGGGAGGAGTGGGCAGGAGAACTGACCCCAAGATTCTATTTTATTATCATTATTACTATTGTTATTATTAGTGGTATTATTAAAGCTGTTTTCTTTTCTAATCAATAAGTCTTCCTCTCCCTAATTCCATTTCTCTTTGCCTTTCGGGGGTAGGGGTTAATAGAGAGCATCTGTTACAGTCCTGGGGGTGGCCCTGACCCCAAACCACAGCAGTACTTTATCAGCTTACAGGTACTTGATAACATGTGAAAATATACAGGGTATGGGCAAGTAGAAGCAGCAGAAGGCTGAAGAAACAAAATTAGTAGGCATGAAGAGACTCATACGTAGAAAATGGGTTGATTCCTGTAAGGGGTCGTCTTTTACAGAAACTTGGTTTCCAGAGCTTATAGAACCTCGCAGCAAGTTCAGGATTCAGTGAATTTGAGAAATCAGTTTATTACATTCTCTTTCAGGCAGCAAGAATTATTGCCAAACTGGCTGCTTGGGGGAGAGAACTCATGGAAGGCAGTGACTTGAATTACTATTTCAACTGGATTAAAACTCAGCTCAGTTCACAGGTAAAAGCTACTGCTGTTTCAGTGTTACAGGGACTTCAGAAACTTTTTTCAAGCATATGGATTTATAGATATGCAAACATGAGGTGTATTTTGGTTTTTTTTGAAACGAAATTTTACTTCATTTTCAAAGCTAAGTATCCTTTATTTGAATACATAGTTTTTAACTTGAGGACTACAGTAGAAAATATAAAATATTAAAATGTAAAATAAAAAATAAGGCTTTTTGCGTTTTCTGTTGGTTAACATTGATTTTTCTTCTGGATACTGAGAAACAGTGATGAGGGATTTTTGTTTCCCTATATTGTTTTGTTTCTCAGTGCTCTTTACTGGGAATAAAAATCACGTTGAGGCAGGAAGTGAATATTGAGATTATTTTCCAGTTTACTGTAGTGCAAAGCCTTTAAGTCCTGTTTCTTGAAACTAAATCTTGACTTATTTGAACAGTACTTTTATGGCATTAACTCAGTATGAACTGCTTATTGCTGGTTGGTTCTTCAAAGATCAATTGTTCTCCTCTGTATTAATTTTTGGAGATTTTCCCATTCAATCCTTATCAAATCCCAGTGATTTGTCATTCTCCAAGGTAATGTTGTAGCACAAGTGGATTCTGAAGTGCAGAGAAAGATTCAGTAGGTTTAGTAATGGCATATTTTTCAGTTTTACATCCAAACTAGCTTTAATAAAAGGAATTGTTTGTTTGGTTGTTTTTTTTTGTGGGTTCCCCTCTGCCCAGCTCTGGAAGAAGAATCTTGAAGTTGTAATTTATTTCAGAAGGTTTTAAGAGAACAGTTCTCAGACTTTTAAGATGAAGATGGAAATGTCTTGAGTAAATCCACGCTTAAGAAAAACCCAAGCCAATCAACCAAAACCAAAAAACACAAACCCTTACATCTTGACATACCAGGATCAGCTCCAAGGATATTCTGGACATGATGGAATGTGCGTGAAATAAATACAATCTGCCATCATGATATACTATAAATATAGAAATAGAATATAAATATAGAAAAATTATCATAGAGATTCTTCATCTTTTTATGGCTAGAGAAGTTGGAGGATTGGAAGAAACTTGGCAACAACTGTTCCATAAGGGTGAAGGACAGCTCTGATACAAAATGTTGGTTTTTTTGCTAGAAACTACGTGGCACAGGTGGTTCTGTGGAAGCAGGAGCAGTCTCCACAAGTGATGTGAGTATATCTTTGAAATCTGACAATTTGCTGTTCAGAGCAGGTGATATCCACTCCTTGGATTAAGGTGCAGGGCTGTTTTGGTGTCAGTAGCAGAAAGTGTTTGGTCTCAGAACTGTACAATGACAGAGTGCCAGGGGATGGCGCCAAGAAACAAAAGTACTTTTAAAACACTGATTCACAGAAAATGCTTGCAGTGGAAGTATGTATTTTACAAGTTGGTTTTGGTTTTTAGAACTGTAGATGTATCTAGCATTCTTCGTTAAAACATGAAAAAATTCTGTGCCATTAGTTTGAATAATACAGTTTAGCACTCAACTGTCAGACTTGTAGGGGAAGCCTCTGAGATTAGGACACTTTTGGCTCTACTAATGTGCAGAACTTAGGCCATGTCAGATGTTAAAGCTAACATAAACCCTCCACCTCTGTAGCATGAAGTTACAAGAGTGCTTTCAAAGCTGTAAGCTTTTCATATTTGAATAGCTTGAATTACAGGGAAACTGGATTGTCCTTTTCACACCAGTATTTATTTATATCCAATTTCATTAAGATAATTGCTGTTGAATTTGGAAATGAACTGTGACAGTATAGCAAACAAAAATGACCATCATAACTGGATTTCCTGTTTTGCTGTGTCACAACGAGGTGGTTTTTCATAACTTTTGAATGTGGAATAGAATTCAGTTTGCTCTTTCATGCCTTTTGCAACCTGAAAGAGTTTCTTTTTTCAGAAGGCTAAATATGAATCTGAGATTATTTTTTCTTCTAAATGCAGTCATCACTTTAAGGTGCTGCTTTCCTGTAGAGAAAAGCCTCTTAAATTAGAACCTGACTGGAGTTTGAAATCGGAAAGATAGGGGTTAAAATTATGGCCTGAGCATAGAAGTTGAAGTATTCCACTGTTGATTCGATTTCATGTGCATTTCTGTGTGCCATACTGTTAGGTTTTGTTAGGCTGAAAGCCCTTGAAAAAGTAAATAGGCTTGCAGCACCCAACACCACTCCTTAAGCATCTATGAGATCTTCTAACTTTATTAGAAATATGCATTCATTGTCCTGTAGCACTGCATGGATTTACTGTACCACTGTAGGGTCCCAAAGCAGCATAGATAAATTCTAGGATAATTAAGTTGGGTAAGTGTTGCCTTGCCTTCAGTAATGTTCTGATTTCCTATCTAGCTTGTGCAGCATTTCCAAGCAGGCCCTGTCTAATTTATGTCAGAGTAAATTAGACATGCCGTTGTAGCATTTTACACAGGAAATGAGGGCTGGGATTTATTCTGAAATTTCGATTATGGTGGTGTGGGAAGAGAATGCTTTTATGGCAGACTCTTTAAAAAGAAACGCCAAATTCAGGAGTGCACAGGTTGATGATGCAGATAAATGAGGGCATTATTTGAGGCGGGAGGGTTGTGTGTGTGTAGCTGTTTTATTTGCATGGTGTGTGTGTGTGATTATCTGCCCTGGGAAATTAATGTTCCATGAGATGATTTGGATGTAGATGTTCAGGCTTAGGTTTCACATAAAGGTCTTAACCTCTGATGAGAGACACAGAATTAATTCATCTTTATTTTAAATTTTGTTAATTTTCTCTCATTTCATACGGGTTTGCCGAACTTCTTTCCTCCATTCACTGTTTTGAAGGTTTTGTATTATGTGAGTGATCTAACATAAGACTTTCAAGACAGAAAACAAAAAGGCTTATAGGAAAAAAATAACCCCGCGACATTTTATCAGCATCATATCTGAATATTAGTGAAGATAATGCCAGAGGTTCAGCTAAAGAGAAGGGGATAAAAAAGCCACTTGTCTTGTACCTTAGGTTCTTTCTGTTTCTGTAGTGGGAAGAAAAATGTATTAATCCAACTCCATCTTTGAACTGCAGCCCATCTTCTAAGCAGTAACACATAAAATACATGCTTTTGGGGATGAAAAGCTGTTTAATGATTCTGTTTGTGTTTCTATAAGACTCTGAATGAAAACAGAATTTGGTGGTGTGTCAAAGTTTTCCTGATGGGAAAACTTTAGTCTTTTTATTCTATTCTTAGCACGGTATGCTGTGCTAAGCTTTTAGTGAAAAGAGGAAAAAAAACAGAATGCAAAGCTAAACTTTGAGGATGAATTTGTATACTCATTTTTGTAATGGTATTTTTTTTTTTTTGCATAAGCATACATGTCATTATGATGGGCATGGTACTTACTGCATAGGAAAATAAACAATTGTGATGGCAGCACTGCTGTTTCAAGTTGGAGAACGGGAGTGGGAAGAACCTGAGTCCAAGAATACTTTTTATACCATGACCTCTAGCAAACTTCTTCAAACTTGGTAACCAGTTTGCTGATTTATTTCCTAAAGTTTGCTCGATAGAGTAATAGTTGACTCTGTGGATGAAAGGACTCTGGCAGTGTAACCAAACTGAAGACAGCCTTCACTCATAGATGCTGAAAGAAGGCATGTTCAAATGGGCTATATAAATCTGTTGTGACACCATTTTACATTACCACATGCATAAGACTTCTTTCCTCTTCAAAACCATTTCTGTTTTGCTTCTCACCTTTTCTTGTGACTTTTTTTTTAATCAGAAACTGTAGTTTCATAAGGGTGAGCCTGTTTAACTCAGAAGTGTTGCTGAAGAAATGTGTGTTGAAGCATGCCAGTAAAGCCTAGTTTGGAAGACAGAACTTCATCACCTATCTACCTAACCCTTCTTGTAAGAAGTGATGTGTTCTTTTCACCCAGAGTTCGCAGTATGTGCAGTGTGTTGCTGGATGCCTGCAGCTGATGCTCAGGGTCAATGAATATCGCTTTGCGTGGGTAGAAGCAGATGGAGTAAATTGGTGAGCATTTATTTCAATTCATATGGATCTACTTACACACTCTCCAGTGACCTCTTGTGGAATAGAACTCTCTTGCAAAAGACAGCTGCTTTGAGTACAAAACCTATTTGTTTTCAAACATAAACACAGTTAAACAAATTGAATTTGCAGATATAGGTGCCAATGTTGAGGCTTTAATGCTACTTTACTCTTCATGAGGAACTGCTTAAATATCTGAAGGGGAATGCAATCATTTGTCTTTAGCTGAAGATGCTCTCTTTTTAATTTAAGAGAACAAGGACTAACAAAATGAGTTTCTGCTAATCTTGTGTTTTGTTTTGGAGTTGTTCAGTCTGAAAACATTAGTGAAAGGAGAAATGTATTCTAGAGCTAAGTTCAGGGGTTTTATTTTCCATATGTGGCTTCAAGTAGGTGATTCTTTTATCCAGATTCTCCTGATAAAAAGTTCTGCACGAGACTAGGGTGTTGTCACTCATCTTCTTTAAAAAAATTGCTATCTAGAAATGACTTCCCGCCATGTGTGCCTCTGCTGGGGATGGTGGCTGTACGGTTTGCACTTTAAGGAAAAATAGTCTTGTACTCTGAAATGGAGAAAAGTCAAAGTTGCCTGTGAACTTATAGCTGAAAAGATACTTGCAAGTGTCAAGATGACAGTAGTGAAACAAACTTTTTCACCAAGGAGACTGTTTAATACACTATTAAAACATTACAGTAAGCTTGCATTTCAGTAAGTTTGAATTTATTTTACTTTTGATATCAATGATCTTGAAAGTAGCTTGTTACAGTTGTGTGAGTGGTGGTTTGTTTTTTTTTTTTTTTTTTAAACTTGGTTTGGTTATTTGAATGGACTTGTAAATAGCTTACTTCAGTCAACAAAGCTTCTGCAGGATTTCTTCTTGGAGATCTTATTATTTCTTCAGTGATGCTTTGTACATCTGTGATGTGTTACAATCCAGTTTTTGAGGACTTGCTTGTTAAATAACTACTTCAGCTTATTGTGGGCACTCCTGTGGAGAGGGATGATTAAGGAAACAAGTTGCATTTTTATACATCTATTTACTACTTCTCTTTCTTATCTCTGAAGGAGTAGCTCTGTGTTTCTCTCTTTCTCCTGGAATGACAAATCAGGCTCTAAACATGCCACTAAAAAAGAGTCTAGGTGAACCTGAAGATGGATACAACACCTCAGCAACTGACATGGGGAAAAGCTGCTTTATAGCTGTAAGGCTAAGGAGGAAATAACTTTATTTTTAAAATGTCTTCCTGAATAAGCTGCTTGTACAGTGATAAGTACTTGTGTAGGATACTATGAAGAGTGTATTGCATGCTCATCCTCAGCAGCTCTTTCCACTAAGTTCCTGTAAACCATTTATTGTAATGTTTGAGGGTGGAGCAGTACAGACTATACAGTCGTTATTTTAAAATTAAATCTATACTATGTTAATTTTTCAGTATCATGGGGGTCTTGAGCAACAAATGTGGCTTCCAGCTCCAGTATCAGATGATTTTCTGTGTGTGGCTACTGGCATTTAGCCCTCAAATGTGTGAATATCTCCGTCGATATAATATTGTGCCAGTGCTGTCGGATATTCTTCAGGAATCTGTCAAAGAGAAAGTAACGAGAATCATCCTGGCAGCGTTTCGGGTAAGTGTCTGTTGACTGCAATTGCACTGAGCTTCTCCCTCTACTGAGGAGATCTCGGATGTCGCTGAGGCACAACTGCTTCTGCTAGACCGTATCAGTGTCCTGGATTGAAAAGAGTAATTCTCTCTTTTTCTGAAAGCTGGATTTTGCTACAGGTATTAGACATGCTGTTACAGATGTCTGCTATTCAGTGTCTTCTTATAATAAGGTTAACTAAAAACCTCTATATTAACATGAGCACTAGTGTTTTCCCTCCTCTAGCTTTTTTCTTCTGGTACTAGTGTGAGACAATGGAGGTACTAATACCTGATAAATATTGCTTTATGAAGCTTTAATTAAAAAATAGTATTTTAAATATAGATGTTTGTGCAACTGAGTGACTCCGAAATTATTTTTATCTGCTAGTCCAAAAATGTTTTCTTGGTGGTTCTGTCAAGATGAATGAGGATGTTTATGTAAATTTTATTAGTTGACTTACTATATCCATGTTACCTGGAAATCTCTTGGTCCCATTTAAGATAATTTGGAAGAACTAAGCACAGAGGCTTGATGTTTTCATTGTGAGAGCACCAGTTTGTGTTCATGGGTGCTAACTCTGCATGTAGTTTTATGTGCATACTTCTCAAGTGTCCTCTGTGTCATGCAGGAGAGCTATAACAATTTGCAATCTTGTGTTAAAACAGGACTTATATTCCAAGTAGGGATCATAAAAACTTGTTTTCCTGGGTACTGATCGTTCCAGTAATAGGTGTGGCAAGTAACTTAGTCAGGAGAGGGGAATTGTTGCTTACTGACAGGCAATAACAAGCTGTCTGAAAGCACTTATTCTGTGACCTTAAATGGTCTCTCTGGCCAAACACATCTGGTACTTTGAAAAATTTCTGGGTAAGGTATAGCACAAGAAGATGCTGTTCTTCTGAAGGAGATCAGTGGCATGAGGTATTTAGTAGGGACTATGCTTATTATGTAGACCTCTGTAAGCATTCTAGTGTTCTTTAGAATCTTTATGTTAGGACTAAGCAGGAGTGTCCAGCAAGACAGGTTAAAAAAAGAAAAAAGAAAAACAAACAAAAACAAAAAAGCAAACCAACCAACCAACCAAAAAAAAACACACAAAAAAAACCCCAAAAACCCTGGGGGACTCAGCAATGTGTATTTAAGTATATAACTTCCTTCATTTCTCAGGTCACAAAACACAGGAGAATTAATTGCTAATTCTTAGATTTACTATGTTTTGCAAGAGGAGACAAAAATGAAGCCAAGTACTTTTAATAAATAAAGGCTAAGAAAGAATAAGAAGATAGTTCTGTTACAGGCTTCAGGGAAATTAACTTAGCTGTTTTCTTTCTCCAACATTAAAGACTGGCGTTGGCATGAAAATGAGGTTATAAACTGGCAGCCAGGAAATAATAGATGATAAATTAGACATCAGAGCTGTGAATTTTGAAGCAAAATTAAAATGGGTAGCAGAGGCGAAACAGCATTTCTCCTATGTGAGAGGCCACAGTTCTTAGTTTATTCAAAACAAAAACAACAAATGGACAAATTGCATAGTTTTTCCCTGGGTCATGCCTGCTGCCTGTGCAGTACTGAAGGCGTGCCATTAGTCTCCACAATTTGCATGTGTCTTCTCAGCTATACAAGTTCTCCTAATTTGACCTGTTTTGTCTCTGGCAAGTTAAGTGCCTGAAGTTTGTAATGTAATTTCTTTTCTGTAAAGCAATAGGTATTAGGTACTTCTGTCAACTTGGAATCAATTACTTTCTCTGTTTACCTATTAATATGCTTTTTCCTCATTTTTTCATGCTTTTATGGTCTTTTATGTCCATTTCCTACCTGTAACTCATCTTGCACCTTAAGTTTTTTTAATCACTAAGTAATTTTACTAGCTTGTTCTATTCAGTCATGTGTTCCTGTCTGTAGTTTCCTGACATATCCTTTCAATTTCTCTATAAAAAGTTTGAATATCTCACTGTGGTATGAGATAGGTAATAATATTTGGAGTAGCTTTTAAATCTGCTTTTAATTCTCTTAACTAGGAGTTCTTTAGGAAATTTTTCTACCTGGTCTTTCAACTTGTTGAAAATTAAGATTAATTATTTGTTCTTTTGCTCTTGTTGGCACTTCTGATTAATTTATCATTTTTTACACTATGATTTAGCATAACTTTCTGCCAATTAGCTTTTATGTCTTACTGAAACTTTTTTTTTTCACAGTTGAGTTAATTATGTGGGGTCATTAGAAGAAGCAGTAGGGCTTGTTACAACTTGCATATTGAAAATTTTTATTTTCAGTGTTCTGCCTTACTAATACGATGTCTGATATCTTAGAAACCTTAAATGTACTTTTTTTTAACATGAATCTGAGTGATGCAGTCAAATTGTTTCCCCATGGTTTCACTGCTTGTTTCTGGCTGATGTTAAGGTTTATTTATATGAGCACATGTTCTGTTTGTTAAGGAGTTTCTTTTATATGGAGTTCATGCTTTTGGCTTTATCAAAAAGTACAGGTTGCTAGCTCTGATTGAACAACATAATTTTGAAGCTAATTAAATTGAGTAGAAATGTAATGAATAAACACCATTGGAACTTGACTGTTACAATTTGTGCTTGAAAATCCAGGTTTACCAACCAGCTTCTGAGTAAAAAAGTCTAGTTGGACTATTACTAGATTCAAAAGAAGCTTATCTAATCCAGATGGTAGCTCTTCAGTTGGAAAGATGACCGTAGGGTTTTTTGCTTGTTTGTTTTAAAGCTTTTTCCTATTTCTACACAGAAAGCTAAAATGATAATGCCAGATAAAAGTAGTTGTTCATGGCAGAGACTCTGGGATTTGGGATATAAGTTTGCCCTTTTTCTTTGAATATTCTTTGTAGTCAGCCCAATTTGATGTGGAAAGTGATCAAAGCAGGTGAGTTAATACTTTCTAGTTGAAGGTGGCATACTATCTAGGAGGAGAATGGTCTAAGTGACCTAAACTTGCATGCAGTGGTGGTTGTGTTTTTCAACACATGCAGCTGCATGGTTTCTACCTTGCAAGACAGAGCATTTTTTCTTTCTTCTAAATTACTCTTCATCTGCTGTGGTGACAGATATGAATACTCTTTCTCTGCAGTTAGGTCAGTCCTAGACAATTTAGGCTATTAAATGTAGGTGTAAAGCAGCCTAAAGTTGCCTAAAGTGTGGTAGGCTAATACTTTGGAGAGATTAGTTTGAGAACCAATTAGTTCTGTTGTTTTCTGATCTAAAAATTTGCACTAAGAATGTTTTAAGCTTACCATTTTGTTTCACAGTAGTCTGTTCTTAAAACAAACAAAATAAATACGTTTTTACTTTCCTAGAATTTGTTAGAGAAATCTACTGAGAGAGAAACTCGCCAAGAATATGCTCTTGCCATGATTCAGTGTAAAGTTTTAAAGCAGCTAGAGAATTTGGATCAGCAGAAATATGATGATGAAGACATAAGTGAAGATATCAAATTTCTGCTGGACAAGCTTGGTGAGAGCGTGCAGGACCTTAGGTATGCTTTGCAGCGTGAACATTAAAAAAGAAAAATGGAATTAGACAAGTACTGGTAAAACTTTTTCAGGCTAAATAACGTACAGTATTGTGATACATAAATGTTAGTTGGTAAGGAAGAGTGCACAGAGATGCTGATTGTATATAAAAGTTTCCTATTCTAAGTGAGCATTTCCAGGCTGAATAGAAAATAAATCTCCATTTTGGATATGTAATCTTTGTGACTGATAAATTAAGGGACTTCAGAGGCAGTTCTGGTTAAGCAGAAGACTGTGATTAGAATAATTTGCTCTCTGGATTACCTTAAGGTTTTGCTAGTGTTTATCTAGTTCTTGCTTTTGTGCATAAATTGAACTGCATATTGTAATTTGTGTCAAAGGTTTAACTGGATGAAAGTCAAGGGGGTCCTTGGTTGGGGAAGTTAAAACTGAGAAAACGGGCAAAACAGCCAATTAAATTCCAAGGTACTGTGGTTGTGTGGCTATTTTTCTAACCTTTTTTTCAGGAATTGTTTTTTGAGGTGGATGGAGGGGCATGTTAGAAAACAAATTTTTCTTTTGCTTTTCATGCCTGCCTTTATTTTTGAAGTGTTGAACTCTTAGACATGGAACAGTTCTCATGCCCTGGAGAGCTGACTTCCAAATGTGTCATAGCAAGTTGTGCCCCAGCTTTGTCTCGTTAAGGACAGGCTTAGGTATGAAATTCAAACTCTATTCGTGGGAGCTTAGCCAGTATTTCATGTAGATCTTTTGTGTTGCAGCTCCTTTGATGAGTACAGTTCTGAGCTTAAGTCAGGAAGACTGGAGTGGAGTCCTGTACACAAGTCTGAGAAGTTCTGGCGGGAAAATGCTGTAAGACTGAATGAGAAGAATTATGAACTACTCAAGTGAGTTCTCAAGTCTTGAATCACATAATGCTTTAATATTTTCTGTGTTTAATTGAACCTACATCTAATACAGGTTTTACATTTCAACATAAAGTAATGTCTAGAATGAAAGAAAGTCAGAACATGTTATTTTTAGAATGTGTAGTCCTTACTTGTATATGGCTTGTTTTGTTCAAAAGCAGAATTGTTTATTTGCTTTTATTGGACAAAATGTATTGATGATGATGATAGAGGGAATATCTCTAGCTTAATTTACATGTAGATTTGTGCTGTTGACTCTTTTTATGCTTCCACTTGAGGAACAACTATACTAATTGATGTAATAAAAAATGTTTCTACTGTACCTTAGTCTTTTGTGTTGTGTGTTGATCTGAGTAATGAACTCCTGCCTTGAATACTTGGCGGTTGAGAATTGTGGTACTGTTCCATGGAAAATCTGATTAGCTTCTTTATGTTGCAGTCTCTCTATTTTGTCTTGGGACTGTGTTTGGTGTACATAGATTGTTGGATGAAATGAAGCTGAAGCTCATCCTTCCTTTTCGAATCAAGGACTTACTTGCTGGCTTTTGAAAGCATGTCCTCAAAATATGTCTCTGTCTGAAGTAGCTTGTAGGAGCTCTTAGTTGTTTAACTGCATTGTCATTAACTGATGATGTGTGCTATTTTTCCTCTTCAATAAATGCTAGACCTTGCAGAAATCAGGAGGTCAGGTGGAGCATGTGAGATGCTAGAAGTTCTGGCAAGATCAAGCTGATCCTGAGCTTTATGTGCATTTCATTCTGCTCTGAAACCTAGCCAAAACATGTCTGATAAATTCCTCTGAGGGCATATTGCTGAACATGTAGAATTTATAGACTTAAAAATTTTAGATGCTGCTGAACATAACATGAAGGTGATGTTGAGGCTTAGAGTTTGCTGTAGCAGTTGCAGTGTTTTGCTGTATTCATCTTTCCTGGTTCTGGGACAGCTAGGTAAATTTATTGTGATTGTTCTGCCACAAAGACAGTGATCTTAAAAAAAAAAAATAAAAAAATAAAAAATTCCTCTCTAAAAATCAAAAAACCTACAAAAACCCAACATACACCTCCCCTCAATGTGGTGGGGGAGGTTCTTGCACCTCAGAACTTACTTCATCTTGCAAGACATTTGACAGACAATCCTTTCGTAGCTTCAAGCCACTTCATTTTATTTTCCATTATCTCCTAACATGCTTCTTTTTACTACTTAACATACTTAAGTTTACTGTTAAAACTTACTTTTTCATGCCTTCCATCATTACTGACTTCTTAAGCAAGAGATGCTGGCTGTGTATTTTGTTAAACATTACTGTGTAGATGTTCAGTGTCTTCTGATTGGTGTTACGATTCAAGTTTCTTTTCCTAGTTTTTGTCCAAATTAGGAGTTCTTTTAAAATGAAACGTGCTTCATCTGTCATTTCCTGGCCTCTAGAGAGGCAGTGGCTGTTGTAATTTAATTTTACCAGAATGTTCTTTTTTCATTCCAGTTGAATTTTTAACCTACCTATTTATAGTTGCAGCTAACTGTCTATAATTAGATAACATTTGTCATCTCGCTAAGAGTAGATAAATCAAATATTTCAGCGATCAGTATGTTTAACCTTTCAAACTTATTAGTGCCTATCCTTCATATTTGTGTCATTCCTCCCCCCCATTACTGTCTAGAGAACAGTATTACTGGTAGCTGTTTTCCACTAAAACTGATTAAACTACTTAATAAAAAGATAAAGACAATATTAATTGTTGAGAAACTGTTCTCCAAGTCTTACAGCTCTGTATTTCTGTTCATGCTAACAAAATAACTTATTTATGAAATTGGAGTCAATTACAAGGTATAGCTTTCATTATCTCAGTCTTTGAGTTATGACAGCTGCTTTTTAGGACAGAACTGGTATCTAGGACACAATTGACTGAACAAGTGCTGTTTTTGAGGTGAAGCTGGTGGTTTTGAATTGAGAGAAGTTCATGGTTGCACAGACCAAAGAACTCAGTGTGTTTCTTCATTTTCAACTGCTAGGATGCCTTTTAATCTTTAAATGACTCTGTGTAACAGTCTTCTGCGTAAAATTCTGCCCTTTTTGTCCTTCTTTCCTGCATTGAGCAAGGCTACTATTGTAAGGTGAGGGGTGGAATAGAGCTGGGGAAAGGCTGATAGAGAGCAGGCTTGTCATACCCCCCC